GTTAAAATTTCCATTTTTGAAAGAAACAAAAAGTCTTTAAGAGATACAAACACTCATTAGCTGAAAAAAATTCACCTCATGGAGGTCCCCTCTTTGGTAGGTAGATACTGCTCAAGGATCCAAGTGCCCTCTTTCTTGGCAATTTCTTGAAGACAATGTTCTCGTTTTGTTTTCACAGACTCCCATCATTGGCCTATGGTAACCCATCCTAGTGTCTTATCATTGGCTCACGGCTAACGGCTGTTGAAGGTAATTTAAAAATCTGTTTAATTTTAACTCACCGTTATACAATTTTACTGCTTTACTGTAAGTATTTCAATTTATTCTTTACTTGTTTAATAATAAAGACTGACTTGATTCCAAATCAATGACGAAACCACGTACTGATCCTTTGCTGGCCCCGGAGATTCCTCCTTTACTTATAACTCACTGCTATACTTTTTTTAATGATAAATTTATTGCCATAAACACCTACTAGTTAATTCATTCAAGTTCATGTTTATTACTTAATAAAGTCTTTAAATCAATGAAAAACCTCCTCCAATTACCAGTCAAAAACACACAACGGAAGGATGTACGCACCCCTCTTCACTTACATACACATTTCCAGTATGGGGGCGGGACCGGAAGTAGCTGTCAAAATTAGTTTGATGGAATGTCATCTATATTTCTCTATTATATATAATAGTATATAAACACCATATATTCAAAGATGTGAAAGGGAGACAGCATGGCTCCAAGTTCGAGATAAAGATCAAAGACTTAACCTATGTGGTCTAAGAGTGTGGGGATTTTCTTAGCAGGGCCACATCAGTGACCTACCAGGCTTAGTTGCCTTGACCAATGTGTAACAGCTTAACGAAGTGTGCTTTTCACTTTGTTTCTATCATGTATATCACAACAGTAATTTGATATCTTAATCCTGTCCACCTCCTCCAACTAAAGCTGTAACTGATTCCATTAATTGCTACGGGTCACGGGCTGTGAGCCAAGAAAGCTCTTTCTCTGCAACAGGTCTATGAGCCCTTCATAAGGCAATAACAAACTAGCACTGTGTTTTCCTCAGTTATTACAGCTCCATTAATTTGGCCTTCCCTCTTAAATTCACCACTAGTTTACACCTTACACCAGTCCACAGCTTGATAACTAAACCCTGCTGTGTCAAACAAATGATGAAATTTTGATCAATTTCAAAATAAAGGAATCAGAGTAAGGATGAGAATGACTCACAGAATGATGTGTGAGCCATTAACCACATTTCATTTTAGAGATTTATCTTGTGAATCATCGTCAGTAATCTGGTCGACACAACTTCCCCATCACGTGCATCAACACTTCTTTTTGGGCTGATCCCATTGAGAGTAATTGGCAGTGTCATCCAGAGGATCTGAACATGTGCACACATATTCAGACATGCCACTTCAGACAATTTAAGCACATTTTGTCATCAGACATTACAGAATATCTGACTCCGCCCTTAGAGACACAAAGTCTTTTACGAGTAGCTCAGCCCAACCCTGATAATTTTTTTTAAAGGGTTTGTTGAAGTACATGGGATTTATTATTTTGATTTTTAACACTGTACTAAAGTTTGCTAGTCCTGACATGGGAAACATTTAGGTTACAGTAACTTACTGTAACCTAAATGTTCTAGCTAGTTGAGTTGATAAGTTGTTAAAGCTAAGTTATCATGACATGAACTAGCATTTTGGCAGTGTAATTGCAGTGCTATGCAGACACCATCGCACAGGATAAATGCTTACGAAGGCATGGCTTGGGCGTAGACTTGACACAGAAGTATTTATTAGCCTTAATTTAGAGCCGCATCTCCAACCTAAGGCCACTGCGCCGCTATTGCAGCACACTCTGATGCGCGTCATGGGCTTGTCCAACGCTGCTAAACCGCTTTAGTTGTTTTTTTTGGTATTTTTATATTTGAAAGAATACATTACCCATATCTTAACTCACCATTTTCATTCAAACATACATTAAATTTAAACATACATTTTATATTCATTGCTGTCATGTGAAGCAGTTGAAGCCACACAGATTAAAACAGGATTTTCTTGTTTTCTACTTTGAATCAGGCTACTGTTCTGTGGCCATTCCTATGCAGAAATCACCAGAATCCATACAAACCAGTTAAGGAAGAATGATCTCCAGCCTAGCAGAAATCATTATTAAAACCAACCAACAAAGTGGAAAAAAATCAATTATCCTTAGAGGTTTGGTTCCACTCTGTTGCATTTGAGTATTTTGAACATTGGCTGCTGGATGTAGCTTAGGGATGTGCCATCATATCAATCCATCGATAAATCGTTTACAATATATCATATAATCTTGATTGTCCTATACCTACAAAATATAAAATGATTCTTTAACTTCATATCATGATAACGGCAATCTGGTACGTCATGACGTCACACCATTACACACTGCAACAACAAGCGTGGCTGAAAGCGAAAGTAACATTGCTGTCAAGTGTATCTATAGCAGAAATATCCTGATGTATGGTGATATTAGTATAGTGCCATATCGCCCACCCCGAAAGTCAATCAGTGGGTAAACCGCTCGCTTTATATAAAACTTGAACGCGGCTGTTTTTACGTTCATTCCAAAGCTACTTACAACTACATGTCAGAGGTCGCACGCCTCTCTGGAGCAGCTAGGGGTCTAGCGTCTTGCTCAGGGACACGTTGGTGGATGGGTCACAGTGGGGAATTGAATCTGGGTCTCTCACAAGTCTTGCATCTTGTCCATTGCGCCATCACTACCCACCGTTTTTACACTCCACTTCATCCTGGTCCTGTCAGAGGGCCACTGCTGATTCACTTTCAAAACTGTCACGCCATGCTGCAGGTTATCTCCATGGTTATCACCACAAGAACTGATAGTTAGCCTAAGGTTACATACAAGTCGTTCAAAGCCAACTAACGTTAATATCCTAATTAACTTTGAGTTGAGTTGCAACGCCGGTGTTTGAAGGCAGCGTGTTTATAAATAGTTTGTACTCCTGGGCACAAAGCCATCGGAGGCTGCAACCGGTGACAGTTAATTTCTACATGTCACAAGTGGGTTGATAACTTAACTTAGCTGGTGCTAATAGACAGTTTCAGTTAGCTAGCTAACGTTATATTTCTTATTTATTACATAGGAATAGTCTATAAGAAATAACGTTACATTTATATATTACATGTTATGATGTAGTTATTGAGAGCTACTTAATGCGGTTGTTATAAGGGTAATTTATAGCGTTTGTGAAGGTCGGAGAATCCGCCTGCGGCTATAACGTTATGCGTCATGTCTCGCAATAAACGCCGGCCATAACCTCTCCTACCGTGGAGTCATACAGCTTATTTCGTAAGGAAGTACTTGAAACCTACTCGTCGCTGGCTGCTTCACTGCTGGCCCCATCCTTCTTCAGCAGCTCGTCTAGCTCCACGGCATCTTCAGTTTTCACGCAGTAGGAGCGGGAAGGGGCAGCGAAGTGCGCGGTGCGGAAAGCAGGGCGATGCGCAGCGGCATGTAGCACCTTCAGTTGAGTACACAGGGCTCTGGCATCAGCGGAGGCGGTGCCGAAGCGGCAGTGGCGGCTCGGTAACCAGGTCTTCTGTCTAGAACCGGACGAGGGACGCTTGAGGGTGGTTTGAAACAACTCCTTCAGCACTGTCGAACACCTAAACTGTAACATCTCAATCCTGTCAGGCAATTACAGAGAAAGTCGTAGTTCCAAATATAGCCAGTAGCAACAGCAGGGTTGTTAAGAGATGTCTTCCACCACGTTGACTGTCTGAGAGGCTATGAGTCAGCCACCGGCATCGACAGATAAATCCAGGCGCACGTCCACGCCCCGCTGCTCCTATTGGTGGAAATTCGGTGATGTGCGCCTCCAAAGATAATTTATGACGCTCTCAAGTCAGCTATTGGAGTGTCTCCATGTCGATCAATTCCCGTTAAACGATTGAACCGCTTCAGACGGAATTTTCTAGCACATGTTCATCAACATCATGAATATTGCCTATTAATGAGTGTCTTTACTAAATGTGTCAATAAAGAAACGATGGCTCCTTTTGGATATACTGAGATCGGCTATATTTAAGTTAGTAAGGTAATATGTCAGTTACATTCTCAAAGTGTGAATGAAATACTTTTGTTTTAAAAGACAATAAAAAGAATAATTTGTTGCTGCCACAACATTTGTTACATTTTGACTAACGTGTTTGTTTAAATTAATGACTTTGTCTGATAGTTACCTCTAACATTTTATATATTGCTGTGTTCCAATTGGTAGATCATTTCGTCTTGTCACACCAAGGTGTAGTTTAAAGTGTCATCACTGATCTTACCAATCCTGGAACTCCTAAAACCAGTCACACACAACTTTCTGTGTATTTTGTTCATTTTCATGTATGTTTTGGTACACGTACATGTACTCAAATGTCACCCTAGTATTCTGTTGTAACATTTTACAAAATTATGTATAAGGTTTGGTGTAGCACAAGACAATGGGATCTGGGCCATTAGTATAATTTATCTAGCACTGCGAATTGTAAGTTGTTTCATGGCCCTGAGTTTGGTCAGGCAGGTTCAGGTTCATAGACTGTCTAAAAGCTTGGGATGCATACCGCCCCCACCGCCCCTCCATGCTTCTCTAGCCTAATGAGAGATCGGAGTGGGAGAGGGGCGGGCACTAGGAGGCAGAAATCCCTGACAGTCTCAGCACAGGGCACTAAAGGCCTCTGTTAAGCTCTCCACGTCCTTCAGGGTGTTCAGGCGTCACTTTCAGAAGTTGCCACGAATACACAGCGGCATGATGTGGAGGTTAGTAAGTTGCACACTGTGCCTGCTTGTCTCTTCACAGCTCAGTTTATGGTCTGTTTGGGCGACAGCAGATGAGCTGGACGGCGAGGTCAAGATGGAAGTTTTGTTCAAGCCCGAGACGTGCACCCCAAAGAGCAAAAGAGGAGATCTGATGAACGCTCATTACGATGGGTACCTCGCCAAAGATGGGTCTCAGTTCTACTGCAGGTTGGTGGTGTGAGACAAAAGCAGCAGTTTATAGATATTATCTTCGCAAGCAAAGTCTATGGTTTGAAACTCTACATGCAGGTTTGCAGGCACTTCATCACTGAATTACTGCTTTGTTTTGTTTGAAGTGAGTGATGATCACTAGGGGTCTCACTACACTATGCTCACGTCTTCTTTATGTGTGGTGTAAAATTGTAAACGCCTCTATTTCAGTTTGACATAAATACAGTTTATTATTAAATGATAGGGACACTAAATATTGTGATTTTTGGTTTATTATTTCCTGATTCAGCAGTTATCACCTGGAGTATTAAGGGACTGTAAGAAAATGATTGTAGTGGGGAGGGGGGCTGAATCTTACATTTGATTTAACAAAAAAGCAAGACTGTACCTTCCCTTGACATTGAAAGACAATAATACACTTTCCCCCAAAAGCTCAAAAACAAAGAAACATTTCTGGCAAACATAACAAATAGGTGAAAATACAGCCACTCTCATTTTTAATGAAGACGTTCTAAATAAATTTAGATTAAAGCCATCATATATGTCATAAGCCAAGATCTCAAATTTATTCAAAAGCTTGTGTGCCCTGCAAATCTGATTGACAGGATGTCTCTTTTTTCTGTTTTAGTCGATCAGACAAAGATGGACACCCCCAGTGGTTTGTGCTGGGCGTCGGACAAGTCATCAAGGGCCTTGATATAGGGATGGAAGATATGTGTCCTGGAGAGAAGCGGAAAATAACTGTTCCACCTGCCCTGGCCTTTGGAGAAAAAGGCAAAGGTAAGTAAATTAATACACAGAGGGTTTCTATTGCCCCTGCCAAAATGTAGAATTACACAAGAATTACATAAAATTACATAATAGTCCCTAGGGCTGCACCTAACAATTATTTTTAAAATCAATTAATCTAACAATATTTTTTTATTAGACGATTAATCTAGCAACAAATTTATTGATTATTCTCAATATGATTTTAGATTACTTGACTAATAGAACAAAAATAAATATTTAAATAAATCTAATTAATAATTGGGTCATCCTGAAAGAGAGACACATGAAGCACATTTTTCACACAACACTTATTTCCCTTCACTGCTGTATTATTATAATGATACTACTAATTATAACAGACCTTAAATGTCAGATGCTGCATCAGTAAAATACTGCACCTCAAAAGGGTTGCTGTGATACAGACATTCATTTAAACACTTTATGTCAGCCCTTTACCTGAAGAACCTGGAGAATCTGTAATATTACTTGACTTAAAACTTAAAATGGTTCTGACATGGATTTATTTCATCACTGGAGTAATAAGCAGTCAGATAATCACTGGCAAATGTATTTTTTTAGTATGTTTCAGGCTCCAAAAATAATGGATCCTACACTTCCCATAATGCAATTCAATAGCATCTTTTCATTGGAAACTCCCTGTGTGGTAAAACATCCAGCCCGCTGGAGACAGGCTGAGTAGTACGCCATATGATGAGTAAAAGTATTGTAACTGATTACGAACTGTCTTGTGTAATATTGTTTCTTTGTCAGAGCAGCTCCCTTCATGCTGTCTTGTCTTCTTTTACAGCACTTTAGCGCATCACATCCCTCGCAGTATTTGCTACTGACCCCCCCCCCCATGGCATGTACTGTGAGCATGCACAAAGTTTTAAAGGTCTCTGCTTCATTTCACTCTTTCTTGCATGCACTGGAGCACTTTCAGAAAACTAACAGCTGATTTACCTTTTACCTTTCACTACTATTTCCAACAAACCTCTCCATGTTGGTGTTCATCACTGCCCTGTGGTATGATCTGATGGTGGTGTTGCCTATAGCCTGGGATTCTGCCTTTCTGCTGTCAATACTTGATTTCACTCTGGCTGTGGAGGAAATGTTTTTGGTGAGTGTGCATTGTTGTTCTTGCAGGACTTTGCAATATAATTGTATATATGTAAATCTTTCCAAGGCTGAGAGCTGCTGAGTGAAAACTCACTGCAACAGAGAGCCTCTATCTAGTTTTTTTTCTCTCTTTCCCACTTAAATTGCATGTTGCTTTAGTTGCAATATTTTCTTTTCTTGATGGACTGATGTCTTGGGGGCCTTTTTATATTTTGTAGAATTTAGCTTTTGAAGGGAAATCACTACTACGTTATCCTATGATTCATTTGTTTTTGTAGTTAGTAGTTGTTTTGTTTAGTTCCTCACAAAGTCTGAAAATGTAGCAGACCCACCAACCAGATAAACTCAGTAAAAATGTTTTCCTTGAAGTGTATCTCCCATCTTTCCTGAAATATTTTACAAACTTCACATTTTCCATCCTATAAGCTAGATCATTATGAAAATGATCAGTAATTATGAGACACGATTATGGCATTATAAGTTGTCTTGTAAAATCTTGATGTGCTGTTATTCCTCCTGAATAAATAGGTCCAGTGCCTCCCAATGCTACGGTGGTGTTTGAGGTGGAGGTCTACTCTGTGTCCAGGGGACCACGCACC